ATGCTCGCCTGCGACCGGATTCTGGTCCTTGACCAGGGGGCTCTTGTGCACAGCGGGTCTCCGAAGGCGCTCTTCAAGCAGCGCCACGAGCTCTTCCTGGAGCTCCTTCGCGAGGGCGGCTACACTGGCAAGCTACCCTAACCTAACGTGCGACGGGACTTGATAATTTTCAAAAGCTTTCCATGAGTCTGTTGTTGCTGTACCTTGTTGAAGGTGGTACGCCATGTGAAGGAATTTCGAGCTCGCTGTCCGAGCTCGTTCCGGTGGCAGGTTGGGGCAAGGAGGTGTGGGCAGGACAGGACCTGCCCTTGTAACCCTGCAACGGGCCTGCGCGCTGGCGACTTGCTTGGCCGAACGAACGCCACCAACGCGGGCAGCTGCAGATGAGTTAGCTTCGATTCCTGCCCCAATGCCGAACGTAACACGGCAGCGCGCCACGTCATAGCCCGCGCGTCGCTATCATTTTCCTTGCCTTCCAGATTCGCTGACAAGGGACTCAGAGGTTGCCGTTGGTGGTCGGTTCAGCGCGACGCCACCAAAGGCAGACAGATTATCCGAGTTGGACGACACCCTGCGGCCTTTTGCCCTTTGTCGCCTGGTCGCTTCGTGGGGCCAGATCCATCCGGACGCCTTGCAACCCCAACATCCCAATGGAGGGGCCCACTGGGAGGGGCCTACTGAAAATAGAAATGCACCTCCTACTGGCCCATCTCACGCGCCGCTGAAGGGACGCAGGATCGTCTACAGCGCTCGTTTATAACGCGAAGCATATTTGATGACGTCGAGCGGTATCGTCATCGCGTCCAAGTTGCTTCGCGACAGCCGAGTCGTCAACTGCTGGTATGCTGTTACGAGTGGGCTGTTACCACGCCGTGACGATGCGGCGCCGCCGACTGGTTTCCGGTACATTGCATGCACAGATTGCAAACGTCTGCAGAAGGGCACTATTACATATTATAGAGGCATCCAGCACTCGTACGGTTTGAGATCGAGACGGCGTCGTCGCCAAGAGTGCTACACAGCATTACATGGTGGCAGCCGTTTGCGCGGTCGCGCGTTTTGCTTGGCCACCCACCGCGTTGTATCTGAAGGGGGTGGCACAAAAACGAATGCCGATACCGGATTGGCTGCTTTTGTACCTTCAAGAACTCCAAATATACTTGAAGGCCCGGCGACGGACGCTTCGCCGGAGTCTGTATCTCTCTTCCTCCCCTCGCTTCATGGCCTCTCCTCGTTGATGCAACAACCACTCCTCGATTGCATCACGACTTCTTCCATGTCCCTCCGGCTGCCGCAGAGTCCGCCCAGGTACAGTGCCATCCTTCTGCTGCATGGGCTAAGAAGGGCTGTAGCGTACCGCTAGTTGGGAAGCGCCGGCCGGCCGAGTCGCCGCGGCCATCGGTCGACCTCGAGCAAAGCGCCGTGCGCATCGACCGCCGGCGCAGTGGCAGCTCGCCGCCCAAGCCTGCGCGCGTGACGTCGCCAGGAAAGCACGCGCCTGAAACCACCGGCATGCTCCTTGTGAAAGACACGACCACGGAATGGACCAAGGTACATGACCTTGCCACGACTTGGCGCACTCATGCATTGCGTAGCGCTGGTGCCAGCTCGTGGGCTCGACCTTGTCGATCTACGACACACCGTCCAGCTCGGCGCCGTGGCACCAACTCGACATGTCGTACCGCACGATCGTGCGCGTGGCACCGACATCGCCAACGTCCAGCGCAGCGCATTATACGTTCTCTCTTGCCCAAGGCGGCAGCGTACGCGACCCGAAGGTTACCAACGGCTCACGTATAGTCCTTGTAGGAGGCGGCGATCGTGCTCTGCCGCGCCGACTCGGCCGCGGACCTGACCATGTGGGCCGACGCGCTCTCGCCGTACGCGCAAAAGGTGCAGCAAACGGCCAAGAAGCAGCGGTTCGAGGCGCCGTTCAGCCAAACCGAGTTTGTGACGCACAAGGTCGCGTCGGTGCCCCTCAAAATGCTGCATTTGATCCTGATCCGGCACGGCCACTACGTCCACGCCCACACCAAACACGCGCGCGACAGCGAAAAAGTGCTGTCGCACATTGGTCGGCAGCAAGCCGAGCTCGTGGGCCAGCAGCTCCAAGCCATGAGCGCGCCGTCCCGCGACGACCTCCTCATTCTGCACAGCGACATGCACCGTGCGATGGAAACCGCAAGTATCATTGGCGACTTCTTCCCCGACTGCGCACTCTCGTGCACGCCGCTGCTGCGCGAAGGCTGGCCGGGCAACCCGTCGCCAACCGACGCCAACGCCAACGTATTGTCGCCCAAAGAGCAAGCGATCGAAGACGACCGGCTCGACGCAGCGTACCGAGCTCTCATTTCGATTGACGACGAAGGTGCCGTCGAAGGACCCCATGGGTGCCGCGTTGTCGTCTGCCATGCGAATTTGATCCGGTATTTTTTGTGCCGCGCGCTTGGCATTTCGCCCGTCGGCGTGTGGGGCCAGTTTGAGATCAACCACTGCAGCATCACGCGCCTCGACATTGGCTCCAACGGCGCGTGCAAGGTGCTCAGTGTCAACGAGTGCGGCCATTTGCCCACGTCGCTGCGCACGTCGAGCGAAGACCACTTGTAGCGAGTTCTCGACGCGTCTAACTTATCGTTGCTTTGTACACCATATTTCGGAATTATGGCCGCGGTGGCGCCAGCAAATCTACTTTTCGGCGCGGATCCGGGCCTTGTACTCGCTCGTTGTCTCGAAATCGTCGCCCTGGCTCCACATCTTGAGCTTCTTGGCCTTGGCTTTGGCTTCGAGCTTGTCGTACGTAGCTTGCTTGCCGCCGTAGACCGCGCCGGTTTGCCGGTACACGTTGGCAAGACCCATTTTGAGCAGCTCCTCGGACGCGTCCTTCTTGAACGGCCCCCAGCCATACTCGACAAGGCACACTAGAGCAAGCAACATTCAATACGAACGATAGACAAAAGAGGGAGAGATACCAGCACGGGCGTACTGATCCTTCTGCAGCAGCGTGAGCGTCAGCTTGCGGTTCTCGAGCAGCTTGGTCAGGTGCGCCTTGGCTTCGTCGCCAAAGGGCTGCCCTTGGTTGCCAAACTTGGCCGTCTCGGGCGTATCTAAACGGTACGTAAAGAAAGACTTATGAGAAGGACATGTCGTACCAATTGCGCAGAGGCGAATCTGCAACGTCTGCTCCGAGAGCTTGCCGTCCATGGGCCCCAGGCCGCGGAAGAGCGGAAGGTGGCGCACGCGCAGCGTATCGCCGTCGCTAAAGTTGATGGCTTTGGCCTTGATCTTGCGCTGCTGCTGGAACATAAAGTTGGGAATGTCTTCGACCGTCGCAAAGCGCGTAAAAGGCGCCCGGAGCCGCGGCAAAACAAGCCCGAGACCGAGACCGAGAAGGAAGGCACCGCCGATCTGGAGGTGCGTGTTGTCGAGAAGCTGCACCGGCAGCAAGTGCTTTCGACCGTCGACCATCTGCTGCATCTGCGTCCGCACGCGCGTCCACTCGGCCTCGGCCGCCTTCTGAATCGCCTCCAAGTCCATCGACGCTGTAGAAAAGTGCAGTCGGCGGTGATCGCCATCACCAATAGCCAATGGCATCGCGTATTCGCCGGTTTTTCAAAACATTTGCACCAATCACATCTTTGGTTCAGGACGCTCTTGGCGGGTTGTCGCTACTAGTAAGATCGGGCGATGAACCCGTCCCTGCATTGTATTGATTAGACAAGATGTCGTCCGTCTGAGCACCAAGGTGGAAACGTCAAGCGGAATTCCGGAGCCAACTTGGGCCCGAGTCTGCTCCGCGTATCGCCACCAACACTGGCTTGACGACGGATCCTTTGCCCTCTGGACGGAATGCTTGCTGCCCAGCAATCGCTAGCTCGGCGCTGGCATCGCTCTCCACTACGGGAGAGCAGTAGTACCCGATCGAAACGATCGAATCTTGGTGGCCAGCTGCAGCGCCACGATGGCACAACAGCATGTACCCAAGCCAGCGCGCCAATTTTAAACTTGGTGTTTGTATGCAGCCACCGCCAGGGCAAACACAATTCGACCAATCAGCGCGCGACGGCAGATTCCTCAGCAGAAAGGACACGGCGCCAGCTGGTGCAAAGTCGGGCGACGTTGTCGTCATCCGCGGACCGAGCGCATTCGTCAAGGACCACGAGGATGCAGCACCACTGGCGTAGCCCGCAGCTGCTTGTGCTGCTGCTATTTGTGCTGCTCTTGGCCCCTGAGACGCACGCCAAGTGGACAGCGACCGAGAACGACACGTTCTACATTGGCAACGACATCAAGGTCACGCACCAAGCGTCGCCTGGCGCGTGCAAGCGCGACTGCGCCGCCGTCGTCGGCTGCGTCCTGTATGTCTGGGAGCCGCGCGACGGTGGCACATGCTTGCTCAAGAGCCACAAGGGCGTGCAGGCGCCGCTGCCCGGCGTGCAAGCTGCCACCCTCGTGCATCAATCGATCGACGCGAAGAACTTGGTCCCACGCGGGCGGCTCGACCACCGCGCGATCGAGTTTGGCATTGACGGCGACGCACCGCTGCCGCGCGTGCCGTATCATTACGTGGTCGGTGCGCAGTGGAATGTCTTCTTCCCGCGCGCACTATACACGGCCGTCTTCAACGCCAGCGAGCGCGTCTTTGATCCCGAATTCACGCTGTCATCGGACGTCGAGATCCCGTCGCCGTACGCGGCCGTCGAGTCGATTGGCGAGTGCGCGCGCATTGCTGCATCCCAGGACTTTGCCTTCTTCACGTACCTTCCGTCGCCGCAGCTGTGCGTGCCGGTGGCCTTTCCCAACACCAACCCGAATGGCGACCGCGCCGCCGTCTTGCGGCACCCCCTGGCCGGTGCCCACGTCACGATGAGATACCCGAAAAAAGTGCCGTCGTCGTTCACACACGCGGCGCCGAACGCTACGAGTGCCGAGGCGTGCCTCGCGGCGTGCGAAGCCGCAACGTCGACCTGCGTCGGGTATCACTTCATGAAGGGGTCATGTGCGCTGGTGGCGCCGCGGCCCGCACCGTCCGACGTCGTTGCTGGCTGGGTGCACCAAGACGTTGCGCACGAAGAAGACGTGATGATCCGCATGGCGTACATGCCGGGATTTGCGCTCACGGGGTACGTCGAGCGACAGGGCCCGAAGAAGCCGTCGCGCTACGACTGCGGCGAGTGGGTCGAGATCACGCAGCACACGTTCTTCCACTACGACGAGGCGACGGGCGCCTGCGCGTACTTTGACCCAGCGCCGTCGTCGACCAACAAGACGATCCAGCTCCAGTATACGCGCAACGAGCTGTTGCAGCTGCCGGGGCACCTCCCAACGACCCCGGTTCTGGCGACGCTCTCGGCGCCAACGGCATCGGCCTGCGACGCGCTGTGCCTCCCGGCCAAGGACAATTGCTTCGCGACCGTCTTTGACGCGGTGACGCGCGAGTGCGTCTTGCACACGCCGACGCCAGACCCGGCACGCACGCTCGCGTGGCTCGCACCGCGACGGCTCCTCGACAATCTGCAGACAGTCACGGAAGCGCATTTTTTCGTCACGGCGCACCAAGACGACCACGAGCTCTTCATGGCCGAGACCGTGCTGCAGCGTCTCAACGCGACAACCTCGAAAGCCGTCTTTGTCTACGTGACGGCGGGCGACGCCAACGAGACCAACGGCTGGTGGGAAGCGCGTGAGACGGGCACCTTGGCCGCGTCCAAAGCGTGGGTCGAGGCGCTCGGGCTCTTCAACTCGCGCGTTCGCATCGAAACCATCTTTCTCGCGCAGCACAGCGTGCACAAGGCGACGATCGGCAACGCAGTGCACTACTTTTTACGGCTCACCGAGGCCGCGGTCGAAGCCTTCATGTTGCGCAAGGAGCTCGCAGTGCCGCCTGTCGACCGGCCGAGCGAGCGCTATCACCGTCTCGACGACATCAAGGAGGTTCTGCACGCCATCATGTACCGCGAAAGCAACCGGATCCCGACCGTGACGCTGGCGACGCACGAATTCAAAGGGTTTGCAGCCGACGATATTGGCGTCGACCACGAGCTGCATGAACGTACGGGCGAAATGCTGGACGAGATTGTGGCCACGTCAAGTGACTTTGGTAACTGCGTCGCTCGGACCTTCTACTACGGCTACCAGCGCTGGCTGCACCCAAGAAATATGTCGCCGGTCGCCACGCGCCTCCAGCGGCACGTGTGGGCAAGCGTCTCGAGCGACATGTTTGACGAGCACAAGATTTTCTACCCTGTTTGGCTCGACCACGCGCAGCACCTCGGTCGACAGTATATCTCCCGCACGATTGCCGCCAATGGCAAGTGCAAAGTTGATTTTTAGATTAGGAACCGATTTCGTCATTTTGATTTTATTAACCTCCTGCAACATTCTCCCAATTTGGACGAGTGGACACCATTGTCATCCAGTCAAAAACGCAGGAGCGCGTTACGTGTTGCAGCAGCGGTGCGGCTCGAGGGGACCTTCCACTATAGCTCCTCGGCCTGTCTCGCCCGCGTTTGCTCTTGGGACGTAGGCGCGACCCGGCGAGCGACTATGACGCAGAAGGAGCTGCTATTCTCGTCTCTACTGCGTACTGCATAGAAGGCGAGGTACCACCAAGGACAACGCGCAACACGTTATAGTCGGCGTCGAGCCATTTGCCCTTCCCAAGGCCATTCCCATTGAAGCGCATCGAGTTTGGTAGTGGTGGCATGTCAATCGTATTGATTGCTATTGTTTCGTTGGCGATGCAAAGGAGGAGCCGCGATTGGACTGACGCCGACGACGTCATCTTGCTCCGGGAGGTGGCAAACAAAAAGCCCTTCCTGGCGCGCCATGGCTTGATCGCAGGCTCGTGGATGCGCGTCGTGTCCAAGGTCGTCGACACTGACGGCTTTGCGCACGCGAGCTTGCACTCTACGAAGGCGCAGACGCGATTCTTGGCGCTCATGAGCAACCATCGGAGCGATAGCGATAGCGAGTCGCTCCAATCCAAGTGCTCGAAGGTCTACGCCGAGAAGCACTCGTTTCGGGACACCCCCCTGCCTTTATGGAGCCAAGAAGAAGAAGAAGAAGCCACTGACCACCGACTCGCAGCAGGCGAAGACACGTCCAACGCCAGCATCGAGCTGTGACGTGCACACACGCGAAGCGCTGCGTCAAGAAGAGCTGCATCAAGAAGAGCTGCGTCCGGAAGAACTGCGCCGCGAAGAGCAAGAGGAGGACGCCGAGCGCCAGATGGCAACTGAACGAGACGACGACGAGAACGCCTTGCAGCGCAATGGTGCCCTATTGGCGCCGCCTGACCACGCATTGCTCGCCAATTTTGCCAACGACGACGCTGAGACGGCCTCGGAGGACATTGATGCGGTCGTTCAGCCCGCACCAGAGAAGCGCAAGACGACTCGCAAGGCTCCCAACGACGACGAGCATGCGAAGATGTTTCAACTCATGCTCCACGAGCTGCGCGACGAGCGACAAGAGCGCATGGAGCTGGCCCGTACTATGGAACACGAACGTATGATGCTGGCGCTGCAATCCCTCGCCAAAATCATCGAGGCGAGGTCCAATGTAAACAATGTCTGAGCGACGGTGATTGACGTTGCTGTACATTTTTTAACATTTTTTAAACAAGCCACAGAGCCTTTTTGGCTGGATTTGGGTGACGCCATTCCAAGGGCACCTGGTGCCTTAGGCGGAGCGGCTTGCCGCGACGCCCGCAGGGCCAT